TGTGTGTGTGTGTGTGTGTGTGTGTGTGTGTGTGTGTGTGTGTGTGTGTGTGTGTGTGTGTGTGTGTGTGTGTGTGTGCCAGGTACTAACCTGTGAAGATGGCGCCTTGTTGCTGGTACATCGAAGACGAAGCTGGAGCTATGGCGCCACAAGTAAGTCTCCCTGGCCTCCGCCACCTCCCTCTCTCTCAACGCTACTCTAAGATCCTAGCAGCGCCCAGGGCTGAAAACTACTCCTATCGCTATCTACTACTACTGCAGCACTCCTGCAGAGTGCTGCTTGTGCCCTCCCGGGCGGACCAGCACTATATAGCGCTGGTCCGTATGGGAGGCTGCTCTTGCCAATGCCGAATTGTGCCAGACCCTGGCACCTAAGTTCAAAAAAAGGTTGTCTTGAAACGGGCCTAAAAATGGCCTGCGCTTATCCCTGGTCTGGCGCCTAAATTTCAGGAAAGGTCGACTTTAAGAGGGCCTAATATTGGCCCTCCGTTTTAGGCTGAAACGACACAGGGCCTGGAGGGCCCTTACTTATCCCTTGTTCCGCCTGGTTGGGCTTTGCAGGCCCGTGTGGTGCATAGTATGCCACACCCCCACCTCGAAAGACTGAGCTTACCTGCGAGGGCGAAGCTGCCTGTCGGAGGGAGGGACCAAAGTCCGGGTGGGAGGGGCAGGTTGTGAAGCTTCCTTGGCTAGTCTTTGTCGCTCGTAGTCGGCATAGATCAGCCGTGCAGATGCCTGCAAATCTGCTTGTGAAATCCACCTTGTGTCGTCGCGGTTGCACCATTTGAATGAGACCTTGTATTGCATCCGCTTGGTGCCGTACTTGCGGTGCGTGACGACGCGATCGATCTCCTGATGACCATCCATGGATGGAGGGTCCTGTGATGGTCGGTCCGGGAAGTCATTGTCCTTGGCTGGTGTGTATGTCGCCAGCTTCGAGGCGTGAAAGACTGGATGGACCGGCAGATGCGGAGGGATGTCAATCACAAAGGATGGGTCGTAGGGCTTGTCGCCTGCGGCTGAAAGGACGGTCCATGGTCCAAACCACTTGGGGAGTAGTTTGCATGAAACATCCTGTTCGAGCGCAAACTCCTCCGCGGAGACCCAAACAAGATCGCCGGCGTGGATGGGACATGGCACGCGACGCCTGTTGGCTTGCTGCTGCATGCGGACTTGAGCCTTGTGCATGTTCGCACGGGCTTGAGTCAGCAATTCCCTGTACTTCCAGACGAGGGTGGGAGAGCAAGCGGCGTCTATATCGGCAGTTCGTAGGAGGAGAAGAGCAGCGAAGATACGGCGTTTCCGACCACTGCGGTGCAACTCGAATGGAGTCACGCCGAACGCCGGATGCAACGAGTGTTATAGGCAAACTCGATGTCGGGGAGGCGGTCAACCCAATCCTTCTGATCCGGACGGATGAGCGTACGAAGCATCATTTGAGTGGTCTGATGAGCTCTCTCCGTTTGCCCGTCCGTTTGTGGGTGCCGAGTCGAACTTGGTTTCATTTCTGTGTTGGACTCCTTCATGAGAAAAGTCCGACATGAACCGAGTGTCGCGGTCGCTAACGATGTATTCTGGTACGCCGTGGCTGCGAATCCAGCCGGTGTGCAAGAGGCSCGTAAGTTCGGGAGCCGTGGCGTAGTACTTGCAAGGGAGAAATCGCGCGTACTTACTCAAACGGTCAACGACCGTGAGGATGCCATCATGCCCGAGGCGGTCGTGGGGAAACAGGCCGGTGACGTCCATAGCAACGGAGAGGCCTGGTTCCCGCGGGATAGGCAACGGGCACAACTCACCGTAGAGATTGCGGTTGCGGGGCTTGCTTCGTTGGCAAACTTCGCAAGAGTTGCAATATCGAGTGACATCGGTGATGACGTCGGGCCACCGGAAGCATTGCCGAAGTCATGCGATAGTCCGAAATGGCCGGCGAGTCGTGAGTCGTGGTACTCGCCGAGAGGGCGAGTCCGAAGACGACGGTCTCGTGGGACGCAGAGTAAGTCCTTGCCTCACGAGTGGATAAGCAAGTACCCGTCAACGATGCGATAACTGCTGGCTGGCGGGTGATCCAAAGATAGCTGCGCATATAGCGTGGCAAAATCCGGATCAGATTGGTAGCCCCGAATGAAATGTCGCTGGAGTTCCTCATTGAATGCGAAGGCATGATGTGTCATAGCGCAAAGATCGGGTCTTCGCGAGAGTGCATCTGCTGCGTGATTGGAAAGGCTGGCGCAATGTTTCGGTGTGAAGTCAAATTGGTCGGTGAAATACATCCATCATCCGATAGTGCTGCTCACCGTATCTTGCGTCTTGTAGTAGGTCAACGGGTTGTTATCCGTGACCCATGTGAACCTACGACGCCCAAGGAGGAAGTGTCGCCATCTCTTGAGAGCCATCACGAACGCGAGCAACTCCTTCTTCCTTGCCTCATCAAGTGAGTTAATGGGAGGCACCTTGTGGCTGAAGTACTCCACGGGATATCAGTCATGGTCGTCGTGTTGTTCCAAGACTTCCCCAATACCATAGCCGGAGGCGTCGGTTGTCACTCTCGTTGGCAAGGTGGGGTCGTAGATGCTAAGGACGGGTGCCATGAGCATTGTCGTTTTGAGTGCTTGGAATGACCGGCGCGCTTCGTCGTCGAATACGAATGGCACCTCTGGCAATTGTAATCTCGTCAATGGTGCGGAAATCCTAGAGTACCCGGTGATGAAGCGTTGATAGTAGCCTGCCAACCCCATAAATGAGCGAACGTCCGTGGTGTTGGTGGCCTCGGGCCATACTCAGATGGCCTCAATCTTGTCCACGAGTGGACGGATGCCTTCCGGCGTCACATAATGGCCCAAGTACTTGAGCTCCTGCCGCGCGAACTCACATTTGTCGCGGTTGGCTTTGTACTTGGTTTGTCGTAGCCGCTCCAACACGGTGCGCAGGTGCTCCACATGCTCGTCCAAACTCCGACTGTACACCAAAATATCGTCGAGGTAGACGAGTACAAATTTGTCCAGCATGTGTCGGAAATCCGTTGTCAGCTGCTTGGAACGTGGTCGGGGCATTCGTAAGGCCAAAAGGCATAGCCATTCATTCAAAATGCCCATATTGCGTCTTGAACGCGGTCTTGTAGCGGTCCTCCCGCCAGATCTCGAGTTGGTGATATCCCGATTTGAGGTCAAGCTTGGAGAAAAATTTTGCGCCGCCCAGCCGTTCGAGGAGGTCGTCGATGCGCAGAAGAGAGCCGGCATTCTTGACGGTTTGCGCGTTGAGCTTGCGATAATCGATGCACAACCGCAAGTCCTTGTTCTTCTTCCGAACGAAGAGAACGGGAGCGCCGTATGGTAAAGAGCTAGGCCGAATCCAAGCTTTCTCAAGAAGGTCGCCGAGTTGTGCCCATAGCACACTTAACTCTTCCTCGCTCATGCGGTAGATGCGACCACGCGGAGGTACGGCCCCGGCCTCGAGAATGATCTAGTGGCGGATGGGCCGATCCGGTACTACGAACACGTCGCCGTAGGCGTCGAGAAGCTCGGTGATGTGTGGATCCGTTGATGCGTCCGTCGATGGGATGTCATGGGGAGGGAGGGCGTGGAGAAAATACACCCCCATCACCTCGATGTTGTCCCTGGTGATGGAAGCTCGAATGCTTGCGACGGAACCCACGTGGCAGCTGATCGAAGGGTGAGGTGGAGGCACCGTGCATGAGACTAGTACTCCGTTCCGATCACGAACGTGAACGGTGGAGCGGTAGAAGTTCACCGGGTGATCCTCGCTTCGCAGCCATGACATGCCCAAAATCATGTCGAACTGGGTGTCCAGAATGTTGGAAGACACGGCCTCGCTTGCATGTGGGGCGAAGTACACGGGACCGTCAACCAACGTGACTTGCGTGGGCTGCGACTTCCTCCGAAGGGTGAGGTGCAGGCACCGTGCATGGGACTAGTACTCCGTTTCGATCATGGATGTGAACGGTGCGGTGGTAAAAGTTCATCGGGTGATCCTCGCTTCTCAACCACGATATGCCCAAAATCATGTCAAACTTGGTGTCCAGAATGTCGAAGGACACGGCCTCGCTTGCATGCGGAGCGAAGTACACAGGGACGAAATCAATGCACCGGTCGATTGACTTGTGTGTGTCACCGTCGGCCAACGTGACTTGCGTGGGCTGCGACTTCCTCCAAACGCGTGGCCCCAGGCCAGCGAGTACCAGGAAATCTTGGCTCATACAGTTGCGAGTAGCTCCACAATCGATCAAAGCGCTGCAGGTCGCTTCTACGATCTGAATGCGTATGTACAGCAATGGTGCGTCGTTGGTGGCGTACCGTTGTGTCTTGAACTCGTGGTCGATCTTCGCAAGGTAGTCGCGAAGGTCAACAACCCCTGCTCTGCGTCCATCAACGAAGCTGGTACTACAGTGTGCAAGTAATCCCGCAATTGTGCCATAAGCGCGTTGCAATGCGGTTTCGACAATCGACCGGTCGTGGGAAGGGGCAGCCATTGGAAGCCCGCGAATGTCAACGGGTCGAGTTTCTCAAGTCTTGACCATGACGTTGAATCCCCAGCGAAAGTTGGCGGCGAAGCTGCCAAATCGGTTGCCGATGGTGATGAAACCGTGCATGCGGTGGAGTCTTGCACGTGGAGTGGCTGGTCCAACGGTGGGACAAGTGGACAGTCTAATCCTCGTGAACCGAGGACTCGCGACATCCGCATTCTCCCCAGATGTGCAGGAGGCTGCTAGAAAGGCGGCCGAATCTGGTGGAGTGAGAGGTGGAGTCGCCTCACCTTCCGCGCAGCCATGTTTCCCGAGCTGATTCGAGGTCGAACATCCTCCTTGCCTTGGTCTTGGCATCGGGAGGTCTTGTGCTTGGTGCTGTTGCACCAATAGCAGCAGCCGTATCGGTTGCCGTATTTGTATTCGGCCTCGGTCAAGCTGAATTTGAAACATGGTACTGGCTGTCCATTTCCGGTCGGCGATGCTGTTTTCGCCTTCCCTTTTCCACAGGCGGGCTGCCACGCTGATTTCTCGTGTGCAGCAGCCCAGTTGGTCTTGATGATCTCACGAGCCTTGTCAATGATTTCCGCGAAGGTCGTGTCTTGTTCGCGATCACCGACTGCGAGGCTCAAGGCGGCACACGACCGGTTGTAGAACTCCCGGCGCAAATGCAAAAATGGCAAGTCAAGATCGGGTGTTGCCACGATCTTTTGCCATTCGAGCGCCGAGGCGTCGTCAACAATGAACGGCTTCTTCCATTCCTTCGTCAGATCTTCCCAAGAGATCTTTTTGTGCAGGTCGGCGACTTGGACGCCGTGGATGGTTGCCATGTGGCTGAGCCAGATCTGGCATCCGCCCTTGGCGTTGGGAACAACGCCAAGATGTACAAGTGATCGGGGACCTGATGAATCCGAAGCTCCGTCGTAAAGCCTTGCCACCAGGTGATCGGGTCCTGATGCGTACAGTCATCAAACTTCTCAATCCGGAACATCAACATCTTGTACTGCCGCGATGCACTGGTGCTGCCATCATTGTCGGGCGGCTGGTGCAGTTGTCGAACCTCATTCTTCAAGGTGTCGAGCTGCTCGCTGATGGAGGCTGGTGCAGCGAAGGCGCTGATGTCGCCGAGCATCGCTAGTACACGGTCGAGTCGTTGCTCCAACTGGCGGGTTGAGGCTGCATTATTGGGTTCGCCAGCATCTGGTCTTGGTGCTGGTTGCTCCAAGTCCTGTATACGGGTATTAAGTGCCCGTGTGGCATCCTCGTGCAGGTCCTTGTGGATCTGCACCGCCTGTCGGAGCTTCTCCAGTTCCTGGTGCTGTTTCTCTAACTCGGACTGCAGGTGGTTACAAGTGTAAACCAACCGGGTCACGAGTTTGGAAAGAAACTCCTTGTGCTGGTCTTCTGGTGTCGTGTCATCGTGGCCCTCGGATGGTTCAAAGTGCCAGAACTTGAGCCTGTCGACGCTGGTGGCTTCGTGCCGCTGCAGCAGATCTTGGGCCTGCCTGCAGCGGGCCTGGGCATCTGCGTCAGCTGCGGCCTGAAGGGGCTGCTTTTCAGCCACTGCCTCCGCTTCAGCCTGTAGGAGGGCAGCCTCGGCTGCCGCCTGGCGCTGTTCCTCAGCCTCGATCTGCGCGAGCTGATCTTGGATTCGCTGTCGGAACTCGGCAATGGACTCGCTGGCCAGTTGGCCTGGCATGCCCAAAACTGAGACCGTCATGGTGGCAGGGCACTGCTGATGTGGCACTGCTGTCGTAGCACTGCTGCCGACGTGGCACTGCTGACATGGCACTGCTGATGTGGCACTGCTGCTGACATGGCACTGCTGCTGACATGGCACTGCTGTCACAACACTGCTGCTGGCGTGGCACTGCTGACGTGGCACTGCTGCTAATGTGGCATTTACCAAACCGGGAACGCAGGCAAAGGGCTGGGTGGGAGGGAAACGCAGGAAGGTAACCAAACTGCACTTTCCATTCCCGGTCCTAATCAACAGAAACACAATAAAATTTAAAAAAAATAAAAGAAGAGGAACCCCTCCCCCTTTTTTTTTTTTTTTTTTTTGAATATCTGTCGATCGGCTATCAGTGAGGCATTACGGAGGAGTGCTATGAGCGAGATCTAGGCAAGGTTTCGCAAAGTTTCGGCTTTAAAAAAAAATGTGATCTTGATTTTTTTTTTTTGCGCAAACTAGAATGGAGGTTCCACTTTCAGAGAAGAATAGATCCAGTTTCCGAGAATATGACAACCTCCCTAGTTCACCTAATATGCCCAGAGAGAAGAAGAAGGAAAAAAAAAAACGAAATGCTAATACCATATTTCCGGAGATTTGTTGCGAAAAACAATTTGCAGGGATTTGACGAAGTCCTGCAGTAACCCGTGTTCTGCAGCAGTCCGGGCCCTCGAAACGGAGCCCCGATGACGCAGGCCAAACTCGGCCTGCACCAGGCAGTGTGACCACACACTGCCCGTGGGAAAATCAAAAGTCTAAACCAACTGTCAGGTCAAAGGTACCGCGCCCAGGCCCTTGGTCGGATACACTCACTTGTTGTACGCAGGTACCCAGACAGCATCGAGGCCAGAAGGAATTCGGTTTCAGGTCAATCTGGGCCGATATTTGCATTGAGATCTGGACGGCTGAGGGATGCAGCATCCGGGGTCCAGACCCCGTGTCAACGCTACTTAAGCGCTGACTTCCTGACTTTGACATTCATTCAGTCTTGCATCAATGCTGACTTCACGCGTTGACGGTGCGACGCTGGCTTGATGCTGCGACGCTGGTGAACGTTGGCTTTGTGCTGGCACTTGGGAGATTATGGCGACGCGCTGCTGGCTCGGCATGGTGGCTGGCTTGCTATTGTCTTCTGGGCATGCTGACGTGGCAGCTGCCACGCGTTGCTGTTGTCGTGGCCGCTGCCATGTGTACTGTTGTTGACGTGGCTGGGCTACGTGATTCGCACTACTGTTCTGATTTATTGTCACTCAGGAGGAGATCATGACTGTGGGGTAATTGTGGACACGTCCCTGGTCATCTTGAGGTCGACATTGCTCCAGTGCGCTGATGAGGACTTATTGACGTGCCACATGGCACATTGTAGTAGAACTTTAGATGTGCGTTCAGACTATTGATTATTTGAGGTGGTGATCACGGAGGGAACCCGAAGTAGAAGTGGGCATTGGTCTTTATTCCTCTTCTTTGTCTAATCTCCCTCCTCTCTCCATCGTCTTTGTATGATTCTCCCATCTCATTCTATCTGGACACGATTATGATTATTGGTAATCATCAGCAGTTTGATATTCATCTGGGCTTGCATTGTTGACAAATGTCTTCACAATCTGCATTCATTGCAAGTCCTACTTGATTAACTAATAATCAATCAATCAATCAATCAATCAATCAATCAATCAATCAAGCTGGCTCCTTGATTGGGCGGATCCTCTGATTGACAGGTCCGCTCTGATACCAAACTGCCGCATACCGTAATGGCGCAGACCAGAACAAGAACCGACCTCTCAGTACAGGATAGTGCAGCGGAAGGCTAAAATACCAATGATAAGACCAATCAATGTCGCAATGCAAGCCAATCATACATCATCATCATCGCAAGGTGTGAAGGGGCCTGGCGCTACACACCGGAAGAATGCGCCAGGCTCCACTCATACACAGATGAAGAGGAGGGGGATCAGACGAAGAAGAGGGAGGAGATGGGAGTGTCGTCACGCAAGTGTCGTTGGTATCAATTCCAAATAGTCCCTCGTCAATGTCTCTGTCCCAAGATCGAGTCTGTATCCAATGTCGTCAATATCCCAAAGTCACAAATCTCTCTCTCTCTCTCTCTCTCTTGTAGTCTGTTGATACTCAGAAGTCAGGTGGCGAGAGGGTGAGCGAGAGATGGTGGACTAAAGGAGGAAGAAGAAGAACTGTGTGTGTGTGTGTGTGTGTGTGTGTGCCAGGACTAACCTGTGAAGGTGGCACCTTGTTGCAGGTACATCGAAGACGAAGCTGGAGCTATGGCGCCACAGGTAAGTCTCCCTGGCCTCCGCCATTGCCCTCTCTCTCAATGCTACTCTAAGATCCTAGCAGCGCCAGCACTGAAGACTACTCCTATTGCTATCTAGTACTACTGCAATGCTCCTGCAGAGTGCTGCTGCCAAATCCTAAAGACTGCCTCCTGCCTGCTTGTGCCCTCCCGGGCGGACCAGCACTATATAGCGCTGGTCCGGCTGGGAGGCTGCTCTTGCGAATGCCAAATCGCGCCAGACCCTGGCGCCTAAGTTCAAAAAAAGGTTCTCTTGCAACGGGCCAAAAAATGGCCTGCGCTTATCCGCGGTCTGGCGCCTAAGTTTCAGGAACAGTCGACTTTAAGAGGGCTTAATATTGGCCCTCCGTTTTAGGCTGAAACGACACAGGGCCTGGAAGGCCCTTACTTATCCCTTGTTCCGCCTGGTCGGGCCTTGCAAGCCCTTGTGGTGCATAGTATGCCACACCAGGGGAGACGGCCGAGGCCTATCAGGCCCGGATGCTGGTTTTGATTACCGATGCCAGGCAACGGTCAGATGCGGTAGCAGCCGCAGAGAAGAAGAAGGCAGAGGATGCCGAAAAGGCACGTCCGCTGGCAGTAGAACAGCAGCGCCAGCACGGCGAGGCAGCAGCAAAGGCCGCCGATGAAGAACACAGTCAACGACGCGAAGGTGGCGAACTCAGGAACAGCGGAGCACGAATCTCGTTGTTGCTCTCCCACCTCACGGACCTCTTGGCAACGTGCATTGCACAACAGGAGAACATCCATAGCCTCGACGACCAGGTCAAGCAAGTTTACAGCCGTCTACAACAGCTGGAACAACGACCTGTCGCTGCCCCCGTCGCCAGATCCTCCAACACTGCCGATCGCCTTGACGCCTTGGAAACCAAACGTCGGAACGCTCACGGACAGCGCACGGCACAGCAAGCGGCTACTAAACAACTTGAGCATCAGATCTGCGCTGTCGCCGCTGGCCCAAGCACCTCAGCACGCGAGTCAATTCCGAAGTTCGATGGGCAAGAGATCTTTTGCGACTCCACAAAGACGGACCCAATTCCATGGTTCCGCCAATTCGAGCTTAAGTTAGAGCTCCACCACAAGAGCGAAGCCAAGAAGCACACGTATTTGTACTCCCGATCGGGGGGCGCGTTGTCGGAAGATGATGAGGCGCAGCAGCAGAAATTGACTCGCCGCGGTCAACTCCTGCGCTGCGTCAAAATTGCCTCCGCAGTCATGGTCAAACTGGACCCTAGCTCTTCGGTTAGACTTCCCCTGGGCCGAAACCGAGGGAAAGACGGCGCGACGGTACGGTCCCCTGGAGACCTGATCCTCCTTGTTGGACTGGAGCGGCGCGACCACAATCAGCCAATTAGTGGGGTCCGGTCCAAACGGCACTTGAAACGGACCAAGGGTTAGCGAGATATTCAAGTTTGATCGGTTGGGACCGGACCGACATGACCGCGTAACCCGGCCAGGAAAGGAATAGCCCTAAGTAGCCATATAGATAAACAGCCAGGCCAAAATAATTAAAATAGGGTCATGTGCTATTTTTAGCACGGGACTGACTGTTCGTTTCCCAAAGTCGGGCCTGCGCCAGTCCCATTCTAAAAATAACACAACCCCACGCTATTTTTAGCGTGGGACTGACTGTTCATCTACCGGGAACTGGGCCTGCGCCAGTCCCGTTCTAAAAATAACACAGCCCCACGCTATTTTTAGCGTGGGACTGACTGTTCATCTACCGGGAACTGGGCCTGCGCCAATCCCGTTCTAAAAATAGGACTGACTGTTCATATCCTGAGGTCGGGACTACTGCTATTTTTAGCACAGGCCCGATCTAGAGTTTGACCACAGCCCCGACCTTGGGACTGCAGCACTCAGCCCCGATCACCTGGCCTCTCCATTATAAAAGAGAGGCCACGTCACCCAAGAGAGACAGATCAGCATGCGTGAGACGTACGTGGCACATCAGGCAGCGTGAGAGAACCCTCACTTGCGGGAGCCCTGCAGCGTTGGCGGAACGGCAAGGAGCGAGACGGCATGAGCCAAAGAACAACGACTTGCCAGCAGGAGCATGAGAGGAGCACGGAGCAGGAGGCAGGAGAGTCGAGCAAAAGGCAAGCCAGGGAAGGGATAAGGAAAGGAGGGGGCAGGACTGGCCCCTTACTTTCCCTTTCTCATCCCCTCTCTTCTCATCTTCTCTTCTCTCTTCTCTCTCCCTCTCCCTCTTTTTTTTCAACCGTCTCCATGGGTTGTGTACATGTCATATCTAATCTGTGCGCTCCATGTTTGAGCTGTTGATTGGTCATGAATTGTGCGCTCACACGCTGCATCTGAGTGTTAACCGTAAGTTGAGCACCGATGAGCACCGCACCTGATGACTGGTCATGAATTGTGCGCTCACATACTCTAATTGAGGGTTGACTCACTACCGTATACCCACGAGCAATGTATCTATAGGCTGATCTTGGACTATGCGCAGCGCACAGTATTGCCTCCAAACCAGAATGTTGTACCTTGGTAACATGATCAACGTCATTTGAACATGAATAATCGACCGTGCCAATAAGCACTCGAATAGAGTATGATGACTGGTTGCGAAGCACTCAAACTGAATATATTGCTTTTCCGCTGAGAGCATGATGCGACTGTGTGCACTTGAACCTTAGTGCGACACTGCGCACTCAATCTGCAAACCAAGTACTTTTTTTTTTATAAAGTGCGATACTCCGCACCTATGCCGTAATCTCCGTTTTGGCGATCTTTGATTTGGCTGCGACTGTGCGCGTTTGCGACGCGGCACAACAAGGCGGCATTGACTCCGAGTTAAGGCTGTACCCTCGCAATACCGAGCCGATTTTGAGACTGCCAGTGCAGTCGCACTGAGTACCGAGCCGATTTTGAGACTGCCAGTGCAGTCGCACTAAGTACCGAGTCGATTT